AGAGCGTGGGGCAGCCGCTGAGCAAGGTGATGGACAGGCTGAACGGGCAGCTGGACCCTGGCGGCTGGAGCGTGCCCACGGAGCCCCCCAGGCAGTCCTTTCGGACCGGCACGCCAGGGGACACCCCAGATGGATCGTCCTCTGGCGACTTCAGCGAGGGGATTTCAGCCCCCATGGACTTCTACCGCTTTACCGTCGAGAGTCCAAATGCTGCTGCACCAGGTGGTGGCCACAATGACGCTGCAGGGAATGGCCAACCGCCACATGTTCCTGGTAGCCCTGAGACTCCTAAAGAAGAAGAAGAAAGCGGACAGGGAGAAGCAGTTGGGGCAGTAGAGGAATCTGAAGGAGTGGGCAGTGAACCCCAAACCGCCCAGATGGACACCATCAATCCCGAGGCTGTCGGTGAGCCAAACAAGGAGCAGCCCAGCCCTTCCTTGAGCAGCGCTGAGGACTCTGGTGTGGAGGAAGGTCAGGGCAGCCCTTCGGAGCTCACCCATCCCTCAGAGTTCAGGTGAGGCTGGGTCTGCTCAGCTCAGCATACGGAGTTTGTGGGAGCACAGAAATGTGAAGAGCTGCTGATACTCAGCTGATACTTTCCCGTGGTCCTCCAATTGTGGGGCAAAGCCCATCCTTTTCCAGGATGAAGGTGGTGCTCAGGGATTCACAAGAAGGTCTTGTGGGCCAGCAGGTGCCCTAATCACACACATTCACTCAGAAAGGTACTGGACCCACGCAGCCCCACATATTTGTCTGTCCTTCAGCCTGTTCTGTCCGTCTTTGCAGGGTGGACAACAACCATCTGCTCCTGCTGATGATCCACGTCTTTCGGGAGAATGAGGAACAGTTGTTCAGGGTAAGACAGTCACATGGGGCAGGCACACAAATCAGTCAAAAATCACACAAAGAGCCGCCTCTGTCTGCTTTGGCCATGGGCTGAGAGCTTTCCTCCTTGCACACAGATGATTCGAATGAGCACCGGGCACATGGAGGGGAACCTGCAGCTGGTCTACGTCCTGCTGACAGATTGCTATGTGTACCTGATCCGGAAAGGTATCTCAACAGCTCCTGCTCATCAGGGCTGCTACAAGTCCCAGTTTAGCAAGGACAGCCCCTTGGAGGTCTGGGAGCTGGGAGAAGTGATGCTTGATCTGTGGCTTGCTCAGTGATTAGGGCATCGTAACTCATCAATGTTCACCAGTTCCTTCGTGCTCCCAAGAGCAGTGGCAATAGCAGCAGTGAGATCAGGGCCCTCTAAGGAGCCCTAGGACCTGTGCCCTGTAGCTCCTCGCCCCTGGGACATGGCTTCTCTTGCTGGTTCCGGGCAGTGACAGGTTCCTTTGCCCCGCTTCATGCAGCTCTTTGTCTCTGTGCCAGGGGCAGCAGAGAAGCCATACATGGTGGAGGAGGCCGTTTCCTATAATGAGCTCGACTACATTTCGGTGAGTGCCGTCTGGGGAGGGAGCAGGGGGCAGGTTGGTGGTTATCCTCGCCTCCTTGGCTGCAGGGATGGCGGCAGCAGCACGGTGGAATGTTTCTGTGGGGCTCTTTGTCCATGAGGAGCATTTTGAACTGCGAATCTTTGAGAGGGAGAGTTAGAAGTGTTGCTCTCCAGTGCCACCTCTGTTGGTGCTTGGGTCGCTGTGTCTCCGCACAGGCAGCGGAGCGCCTGCCGACCTTCTCCCCCAGGGCCACGATGCCAGGTTCAGCCCTGCTCCACCACCCTTTGTCCTGTCTTGCTTCCTTACCCAGTCATGTGTGACACAGGTGGGGCTGGATCAGCAGACGGTGACGCTGGTGTGCACCAATCGGAGGAAGCAGTTCCTGCTCGACACTGCAGATGTGGCTCTCACAGAGTAAGTGGGCACCGACAGCCCCTCACGTCATCAAAATCCTCCAGTCAGCAGAGGGACCCTCGGCTGTCAGGGCAGGTGGAGCTGACAAAGGCCTGCCTCCATAGCTGCGTCTCCCTCCCTCTCAGGTTCTTCCTGGTCTCCTTGAAGTCAGCCATGATCAAGGGGTGCCGGGAGCCACCGTACCCCAGTATCCTCACAGATGCCACCATGGAGAAACTGGCACTTGCAAAATTTGTGGCTCAGGAGTCCAAGTGTGAGGTGAGTTCAGACACGGCAGCCATCGCTGCGCTTGGCAGAGCATCACGCTGGGCACCATCCTGCTCACATCTCTGCCCATCCCGCAGGCCTGCGACGTGGTGGTGCGTTTCTACGGCCTCGTACACTGGGAGGACCCCATGGATGAGACGCTGGGACCCTCTCCCAACAGCTACACCTCTGCTGAAAATGCAGTCACAAAGGATGGCGTTCTGCACTACAAGGCGGGCACCTCGTACCTGGGCAAGGAGCAGTGGAAGACCTGCTTCGTGGTGCTCAGGTGGGTCTGGGAGAAGATCCCTGGCCAGTTTTCTTTTGCTGCCCAGAGATGAGGAGGGCCCATCTCATCACCTGGGAGGCTGACATAAAAGCCCCTGTTGTGGCGGCCAGCAGCAGCAGCACAACCCCTGTGTGCACAGGGCTGGGCAGGAGTGTCTGTGTGACCGAAGCCATGTTTGTGTGGTTGGCAGAGCTGAGCTGGCTCCACTGACCATCTCTCATCTTTCCAAATGGCAGCAATGGGATCCTGTACCAGTACCCTGACCGCACAGATGTCACACCTCTGCTCTCCATCAACATGGGGTAAGCAGCTGGTAGGATGTGGTCCCAGCTGGGAAAATGGGACAGGCTGGTGAACAGCACAGGGAAGGTGGATGGGGGCAGGGCTTGCTGTCATCAGGACAGCGCTGCGGTCCATCCTGACCTCCCTCCTCTCTCCCAGCGGTGAGCAGTGCGGGGGATGCCGGCGCTCCAACACCACCGACCGGCCCCACTCCTTCCAGGTGATCCTGACAGACCGGCCCTCCCTGGAGCTGAGCGCTGACAACGAGGAGGACATGGCCGACTGGATGCAGTATTTCTGCCAGGCCGTCTCCAAAGGGGTGAGCTGCACACACGAGTGAACAAATCCCTCCTGAGCCCCTCTGGGTCCAACCTCCACGGTCCTTTCCGTGATGTTCCCCAAAGAGCGGGATAGAAAGTGATGTTTTAGGGCACTTCCCTTCACGTGCATGTGGCACCATGGAGATGGGGCTCCTTCATTTCAGGATCCATCTCCCCTTCCCCACCCGCTACATGCAGGTCATCCCCCAGGGTGTAGCCCCTACGCCGTGTGTCCCGTGCTGCCTGGTGCTGACAGATGAGAAGGCCTTCACCTGTCATGAGGACTGCCAGACCAGCTTCTTCCGCTCGCTGGGCACCGTGGAGCTGACAGACATCACCTCCATCTCCACGGAGGCCAACAAGGAGTACTGCATCCTGGTGAGCGAGGTGATTTGCGGTGGCCTGGGGCTGGGCAGGGCCGTGGTAGCAATACCCGCTTTTTCTCACGTTCAGGAGTTTGCTCAGGACCACAAGCAGTTCCTGCCTCCCTGGGTGCTCTATTTCAGTTGCACTACAGAACTGGAGAGGTTCCTCTCAGCACTGAACGCCGCGTGGAGAAACAAATACCAGGTGAGCGCGCGCTCTGCACGGACATTTCCGTGCCTGTAGGCAAGGCAAGCCCTCCTATCTGCAGAGGGCATGCAGCCCCAGAGCTCCGTGCCCATACATCCATGGGGTGTGGGATGGGGTGCGAGAAGGAGCTGTGGTGCCTCCCTGCCCGATTGCTCCACGCGTTGCAGGTCGACCTCCTGCACAAGGCCATTCTGGACGCAGCTGTCAAGAAGAAATGTGAGGATGCTCAGAGCCTCATCAACAGCGCCTGGCAGCGCAGCGACAGCCTGTGCCGTGGGCGGGCAGAGCGAGACCCCTGGTGTTAGCCCTGAGGGGGGAGGACGGCTGACAGACAGCCCAGATGCTCTCAGTGGGCACAGACAGCGCCTGTGAGCAGCGGCATCCCAACCTCCTGCCACCTCGCGGTCCCCGTGGCCATGCTGGGGACGCAGCCAGCCTTGCCCTGCTGTGCAGCCTGTGCCCTCCTCGCCATCCAGCTGCTGTGGGGCAGAGCGCGTTGCCTTGAGAGGAACGCCCTGCCGTGTTGGAGTGGGGTGGGATGGGGCTGGGCATCCACCGTGCACAGCACGACTTTGTTCTGTGCCGAACAGAGCAGGTGGCAGCCATGGTGAGACGGGCGCTGAATCACATCGTGCATGTTTTCTCCTTGCTGATGCAATCACTGCGTATGGCACTGCTCCTTCTGAGCCCCCTCTGGGCACGGGGAATCTCACCACAGGCAACGCATCCAGACGTGGCCAAACCACACACCGAGCTGGCGCCAGGGCTGAGGCTGGAGGTGCTGAGCAGGGAACGATGGGGAAAGAAGAGGGAACGTGGCCAGAAGTTTGGCCTTGAATATCCTGGCCGTGAGCGGTCTGGTTTTAGGAGGCGGCAGGAGCTCTGGGCTTGGATGTGTGATGGGACAAACCCCGACAGGGAGAGATGGAGTCCAGAGCTCTTCAGGGGCCGAAGGGCTGCAGCTGCCCCGCCGTGCTCAGCTCCGTCACTGTGCCCAGAGGACAGGGGCAGCAGCCCCACGTCGGCCCCATCGCTCCCCCCTCTGCCACACACCCTGCAGGCACAGTCTGAGCTTTTAAACAGTACTACGGAGATCTCATGTAATATACGTCTGCGGGGCCTTTTTCTGGGAGGAATTGTACGTGACTGAATGTATATATATATACATCTGCTTCCTTTTCCCTCCTCCCCAAATAAATACTCATTGGTAACTCAGCTCTGGCCCTGCAGTGCACACGGGGCTGGGGTTCCCTTGCTGCTGGTTTTGGTTTTCGGTGCGCCCCTCTCTCCTTCCCCCGACGTCCCCCTGCTGTACCCGCATTGGCGCCGCGGCCCGTTGCGGCAGGGCGCCCCGCCGCCGGATGGGACGCGGGGAGAGACGCGCCGTTGACCTTTGCTCCGCATCCCGCCCCCAAATCGGGGTCGGCAGCGGGCTGGGCGGCGCTCAGTCGTCGTCCCCCCCCAACTCCTCGTGTCCGCAGGACGAGGAAGGCGGAGCGCGGGGCTACTGGCAGGGCGTGCAGGTGCTGCATGGCGGCGGGCACCGGGGCCCTCGGGCCCTTCCCCGCCGCCGCGCTGCACGATTTCCCCTACCCCCCCCAAACCGCGGCCCCCGTCTCCAACGGCCCCCCGGCGGGGGGGGTTCCTCCGGCCGCCGATTTGGTGCTGGGAGCCGCGGCCGGCTGCATGGCCTGCGTGCTCACCAACCCGCTGGAGGTGGTTAAGACGCGGCTGCAGCTGCAGGGCGAGCTGCGGGCTCCCGGCACCTATCCCCGGCCGTACCGCGGCGTGCTGCGGGCGGTGGGAGCCGTGTGCCGTGCCGACGGGCTGCGGGGGCTGCAGAAGGGGCTGGCGGCGGGGCTGCTGTACCAGGGGCTGATGAACGGCGTCCGCTTCTATTGCTACTCCTGCGCGCTGGACGCCGGCTGGACCGGGTGGCCCGGGGGCACCGTGGTGGCCGGGGCGGTGGCCGGGGCGGTGGGAGCCTTCGTGGGCAGCCCCGCGTACCTGGTGAGTGCTGCGGCCCGGGGGGGGGGAGAGGAGCCCCCGGCTCTGCGTGCTGCGCGTCCCCGTCCCCGCCCGGCTTTGCCCCCCGAGCACAGGGGCGCGTTGTGCGTGCCGTGCCGCAGCCCTCCTGCTCGCCCCCTCCCGAGCCCAGAGCTCCACTGCAAGAAAATCGGGATTTCTCCCTTTTTGGGGTCTCTCCATCTCTTGGGGTGCTCGGAGGCGGAGCCGCTGCGGTGCCACTGCGGCCCTTTGCCCCAGGGCAGGGGGGGAAAATGGGAGTTCAGAGTCTGGGGGGGCACATAGTTGGGTGCCCCATATCTCCGGGAGGGCTCAGATGGCCCCAAAAGGTGCTTTCGTGACGCTGGGAAGGGATGCTGAAGCCCATGGAGGGAATGCACAGGGCAAAGGGGGGTTCTGTCACCTGGTGTCACCCAGTGTCGTCCATCCCTGCAGGTCAAGACCCACCTCCAGGCCCAGACGCTGTCAGCCATGGCCGTGGGCCACCAGCACAACCACGAGGTGAGAAGGACCGGGCCCTGCAGGCAGCGGTTGTAGGGCTGGCAGAGGGGACACCATTTTGTCCTGCAGTATTTAAAGCCGTTGTCAGGTGGGTGCTATAAATATCATCAGCACAGGCTGCTCGGAAACAACTTGCGTGGCACTGAGGGATGCGGTGACATTGGGGTGACAGTGACGAGGTTGTGTGGGGGTTGGGGTACGGATGTGCTCACCCAGCGTTTCTCCCCGCAGAGCATCTCGGACGCCTTCGGGAGCATCTACCGGCAGCACGGCGTGGCAGGGCTGTGGCGTGGGGTGTCGGGCGCGGTGCCACGCGTGGCGGTGGGCTCGGCTGCACAGCTCGCCACCTTCGCCTCTGCCAAGGACTGGGTCTGCCAGCACCAGGTGACCCCCGCGCCCCTCCTCAGCCCCGTGCTGCGGTGCCACCGCTGACGGCTGTGGATCCCCGCAGTGGTTCGGGGACGGCAGCTGGGCAGCGGTGCTGGCGGGCGGCATGGTGAGCGGCGTGGCCGTGGCGGTGACGATGACGCCGTTTGACGTGGTCAGCACTCGGCTCTACAACCAGCCCGTGGAGGCTGACGGCACGGTGAGTGCGTGGCCTTGGGATTTGGGGTCCTTTCCCGGCTCAGCCGGGCTGCATCCGGCTGTCTCTCCGCAGGGCAAGCTGTACCGCGGCTTCCTGGACTGCTTTGTGCAAATCTCCAGCAAGGAGGGGCTGCTGGGGCTCTACAAGGGCATCGGCGCCGTCTACCTGCGCCTGGGCCCCCACACCGTGCTCAGCCTTTTCTTCTGGGATGAGCTCAGGAGGATGGTGAGGCCGCAGCCGCCCCCGGGGCCGTAGGACCCCACGGATACAAATAAAGGGATGTATTTTTTTTTGTTTTGCTGGAGCTCTGGGGGTCTTTGGGGCGCAGTGGGACCAGGAGGGGTGATGGCAAAGCCGTGGGGACGCTGCGGCGTTCTGAGCCTCGCCGCCACCTGAATGTCCCCTCCTATGGGGCCAGAGGTGCAGCCACAGGCAATGATTTACCAGCCCGTGCCCCCGCCTGCAGACCTTTGAGCTGGGCCTGGCGCTGCTCTGCGTGGCGATGCTGTCCCTGGGGTCCTGGCTGCCCGCGTGGCCGGGGCTGGCGTGGGGCTGGGCGCTGCTGGACGCAGTGCTGCGAGGTGAGGCCACGGGGACGTGGGGATGTTGGGGACACTGGAGACACGGTGACACGGCACTGCTTCTTCCTGCAGGGCTGGTGGGGGCCTGCGCCACCTCGGTGCTCTGCAGCCTGCTGAGGGTTTATCTCTACATCCAGTGCCTGAAGTAAGCTCCCGCCCCGCATCCACACGGGATCTGATTTTGGGATCCGTGTTGGGGGATCCATTTTTTGGGGGGTCTGGTTTTGGGAGGATCCACTTTTGGGGGATCTGCCTTTGGAATCCACCGCGTTTGGAGATCTGCTTTGGGAAGGCTTTGCTGTGGAGATCTGCTCTTGGGGATCTGCTTTTGATTATCCACATTTAGAGATCTGCTTCTGGGTTGGCTGCATTTGGCTGACTGCGTTTCGGATCCAGCTCTGGGCAATGCACATTTTGGGTATCTGTTTTGGTGGATCCACATTTGGAGACCCAATTTTGTGTTATCCGCCTTTGGGATCCACATTTCAGGTAGCCTCTTATGGAGGATCTGCTTTTGGGGATCCCCTCTTGGGGATCCGCTTTGGCTTTCTCCTTTTGGGGTCTGTGCTTTTGGGAATCCTCTTTCAAGATCCCCTTTGGGGGGTCTACTCTTGGCCATCTGCTTTTTGGGATCAGCTTTTAGCTATCTTCGTTTGGGGATCCCCATTTTGGATGCTCCCCTTTTTGGATCCCCACCCCTTGGTTTTCCACTCTGGGGTTCCCCCTTTGGGTATTCCTTTTTGAGGGATCTGCTTTTGGGATCCCCTTCGGGGTCTGCGTTTGGTCTCCATCCAGCACCCCTAGCTGTTGCTGCAGGCAGGGAGGTGACCCCGTCCTGCTGTACCCCGCTGTCCCCAGCGACCCGGCGCGGCAGGACCTGCGGGTGGCCCTCGGGGCGCGGCGGTTGGTGCTGGAGCCGCTGCACGTGCTGGTGCTGACGGCCATCCTGGCGCTGGTGGGCTCTCGCGTGGCCGCGCTGGTGGTGCTGGAATTCTCCCTGCGCGCCATCTCCATGCTCCTCTCCCTCAGCAAGGTGAGCGGGGACAGGGAAACCGAGGTGTGGTGATGGGCGTCACGCGTCCTCCTGACGCTTGCATGATAGCGTTGGTGCTTTGCAACACCCATGCTGAGGACAAGAGATGCAGCATGGAGGAAAGCGCGCATGGCGGCACGGCGGTGCATGGCTTGGCAGTGGTGTGTGGCTTTGCATGGTACGTGGTGTTGCGACGGCGCATCGCCTTGCTGCTTTGCACCCCCTCCTGATGCAGCTCCTGACGGCTCCGTCCCGCTCCCGCAGGGCGCCCACAGCATCCAGCTGCTCGTGCTGTGCCAGTTCTCGCTGGGCTGCGGGATGTCCTGCGGCCTCAGCTTCCTGCTGGAGGAAGCTCCCCATGGGAGCTGCAACCTGGTGCTGGCGGCGGGGCTGGCGGGGCTGCTGGCCGTGCACGCCCGCCGCTTGGCTCTACACACCTGCACGCTGTATGAGCTGCACAGCCGAGCGCGGTACTGCGGCGTCTGCATGCTGCTGCTCACCTCTGGGCACGGCGTGCCCCGGCTGCTGCGCAAGGCTCTGGTTGTCGCCTTCGTCGTGGCTGACCTGGCCGCCGTCGCGCTCATCAATCGTGATTTCCTCTCGACGGCGGAGGCCGTCCGCTTCTGGACGCCGCTCACTATCTGCTACACGCTGCTCGTCGTTTACATGCAAGGTGAGAGGGTGACGAAGGGCTGTAAGGACACGGAACGTTTGGGGAAAACAAGTTCTGGAGATGGAGATGTTATGAAGGTGGAGATGACCCGACCACGAGGTCGTAGCCCCGCGTTTCTGTCTGCAAATGGGGCATCATTTGGATCCCCCGGGTTCTGGAGGTGACACGTTCTGGAGGTCATTTTTGTTCCTCCCAAATTTTTAGGATGACGCAACCGGGATGACGTTTCTCCGAATGTTGGCTTTGCAAAAAGATCCCCAAAGATTTTAGGGGTGACCCAAAAAGGTCACTGGCCCATCCCCAAAGCTTGGGGGATCAAAACCAGGAGGAAATTTCCCCACACAGTGGCTTTGCACTGGGGACCTTGAGTACTGTGAGGATGACCCAACCGGCAGTTTGTTTGGGTCCCTCAGATTCTGGGGATGACTCGGCTGTGATGTCGTTCGGGTCGCCCAAGTTTTGAGGACGGCTCAGCCAGGATGTCTCCAAGTTGGATGAATTCCACACTCTGCCTGGCTGCAGAGCACGCCGTCCACACCTGCACACCCTGACGCTGTGTCCCCACAGAGGAGCAGCGGTCAGGCACGGGCACGCAGGCAGCCTACCAGACGGTGCTGGTGCGCATGGGAGGCCTCTTCATCCTCCTCTTCACCGTGGGCCGCTGGACAGACCTACTCCACATCTTCCTCTCGCTGCTGGGAGAGCTCTGGTGCCTGCTCCACACCGGCGTCCTGCTGGAAGCTTGCCGGCAGCGGGTCAGTGCCCCCAGTGCAGCCCCGAGGCCACCGTGAGGATCTGCTGCCCGCCTTTCCATTTCTCTCTGCTCTGTTTCCCTTAGGATTTCTCCTCGCAGCATCGACCGATGTCAGGATCGTCCTGAGGTGTAAGCAGGGATGAGGAACTCGGAGCAGCTCCCTAAGTCCTCCATGCTGTGCTGGACAGCCGCTGTGGGGACACGGGAACACAGGGGAAGGGGCTCCTGGAAGGTGCTGATCCCATCCCGTTGGATATGTGGATGCTTGTACAGCCCCTGGCTTTTGAGGCCCCCATCCCCATGGTTGTGATTGGGCTGGGGGTCACCTCCCTCGTCCTGCTGCGGGATGTGGTATGCAGATGGATGCACTCATCCTCAGGGGCTGCCAGGCTGCACCACTGAGGTGCTCCGAGGGACCTCTGGAACTTCATAAATCATGGAAAATGAGAAGTGTTTTATTCCCAGTCAATGCCTGGGCAGAGCGAGCTGGGGTCCTGTTGCATTGGGGTCCGGCTCAGGGACAGCCAGGGCAGAGCTTTCTGGGAGGGTGCATGCTGCAAAGGGGAACAGAGGCAAAGAGGGGTGTCCCCAAGCCCCAAACCCTTTCTGCTGTGCTGGAGGGCACCCGGTGCTAGGCCGATGGGTGCAGGGTTTGGGGAAGGGGGTACAGCAGGCGAGGGGATGGGGCTGGCCAGAGAACCTTGGGGTGTTTGGGACTGCGGGGGGATCCTGAGGGTGTATGGGGCACTTGGGGTATCGCGGTGGTGTGGGACGTCGTGGGAGCTCTGTAGGGTTACGGAATAACCTAGGGGTGCATGGGACACCCTCAAGCACACGGTAGAACCCTGAGGGCGTTTGTGGCAGCTGGTGGGGGCTATGGGGCCGCCTGCCGGGGGGGGCGGGCCGTGGGGCAGGAAGGGGGGAGGAGGAGGAGGGAGGGGAGGGAGGAAGGGGCGGTGATGCCGCGGCTCTGCCTCCCCGCTGCCCCCGCCGCGCCGGGCAGGGCGCGCCCGCGGAGCGCACGGAGGGACCCGCAGCGCAGCCCAGGTAGGAGACAGGACAGACACCGGGACTGCGGGCACCCCGGGGGACGCGGGGCTGCGGGGCTGCGGGGCCACCCTTGGCTGGCAACGCCCCTTCAGAGCAGAGTCCCCACGCTTTCCCCAGGTAGGGGAGAGGAGACACCCCCAGGTGCGGGATTGAGGACATCCCCGCTGAGACTGGGACACCCCAGTGTGGGACACGGGGCTCTGCACAGGGGGGGGATGAAGGCGGCCGAGAACTGTCCTGGGATGGGACAGGGTACCGAGAACCGCCCCCAGGGACGGGAACGGGGGTCCCAGGTAGGGGAGGGGACACTGAGGCCACCGCCGCAGTCCCCACAGCGTCCTCCGAGAGCTGGGGGGTGCGTGCGGGATCTGCTGGGGGAGAGGGGGTGTAGGAGAGCCTTCTCCCACCCCAATTGGGGGAGAGGTGCCCCATAAGCAGCCTCCACCCCATCGATCCCACCCCCCTCTGGCACCCATGATTTTGGGGTGTCTCTCACAGGATACCACAGCCCCATCCCGGCACAGCCACAGCCACCCCAAAACAGGAAGGTGCTGTCCTGTTGTGCGGGCACCCCAAGAAAAGCGTAGTGCAGACCCCAGAGCTGCCACCCTCCAGCTTTAGCCACCCTCCAGTTCCAGCCACCCCGGTGGGCGGCAGTGGGGCAGCAATGGGGCCGCTGGCGGCTGGGCTGCCCCAGCACAAAGAGGAATGCGCCGAGCACATGGTTCACATTAGCCCTGCAGATTGATTTTTTTTTTTCCCCTTTATTTTCCGCGGGGAGCAGGTGAAGGTTTGCGTGCAGGGCGAGGGCTGGCAGCGCCGGGACCCGTTTAGGTTCCGCCGGCGGGGAGGGAGGGAGCGCAGCCACTCCGGATTCTCCTTTTTCCTCCCTTTTCTTTGAGTCAGAGGCTGAAGTCAGCAGTGTGCCCGTCCCACAGCGATTTCCCCACTGCACAGGATGTGGGGATGCCCGTGAGCAGGATTTAGGGAAGCAGAGCTGCCCCGCGCTGAATACGGAGTGCTGCATGAGACCAGGCAACTCATCACACAGGTATTGTTCTGCAGCACGGCAGGGATGGATGCAGCGCTGGATGGAGCCTGGGGGTCCCCGAGAGCTGTTTTGGAGGGGGAAGCAGGGAGGAAGCAGGTCCTGGCTGCTTTTCCCATTGCTGAGCACAGCCCTTTTCCTTCCCGACTGGGGTCAGCCAGGGTCGGGCGCATCCTGCCTGTGCGGCGGCCGCTGTGCTTTACAATCCCATTTTCCACAGGCAAGGTGGGTGCCTCCCGCAGTTTGATCCCAGCTGGGGTCAGTTAGAGAGGAATAAAAGAGGGTTACAACGCTTGCAAAAGGCTGGGGTTGGTAAGGAATGCCTGGGACAAAGTGGGAGATTTGGGAGGCTGCGCACGCTGCCCGCAGCCAGGTGCTCTCCAGGTGCCCTCACCGCACCAGGCACGAGGCTGTTTATAGCTGTGACCTGGGGTGGGGATGCCCGTTCCTTATTGCCTATCCAGGAAGGGGAAGAGGAGGCGGGTTGAGGCTGAAGGACAGCGGCAGCCACAGGCACACCGCACTGCTGGGGCGCTGGCACATTCCTTTCTGCTTTCTTCTTTTTTTTTTTTTCCTTATTTTTTCTTCCCCGAAACCCCAGCCCACGTCCAGCCCCTCTGCTGTTTCTGCGATGCTGCCCAGGAAGGCAGAGAAGAGGATGACTTCATCTGTCTTCATCACCCTGGCGTCCCCACGGAGGGAGGCGGCCCCCAGGGAGCAGCCCCACGCAGGGCTGTCACCGGCTGTCCCTGAGGGCAGCCCTCACCCCCCGACGACCCCGGCGCTGCCCAACGGAGGTGAGGAGTGGCTGTGAGGCACCGCGTGTGAGGACAGTTGTGGTGGCGTGGAGGCACTTTGCAAAAGGATGTGGGTGCCGGTGGAGGGGGGGTGTTTTCTGAGGGTCGTTCCCTAAACCCCACACCCAGTGCAGGATGGATCCAGCTGCCCGGATAGGGTGGTGGTTGCTCTCCGTCAGCCAGCACTTATCAGCGTTTGCTTTTGGGGCTGGTCGGTGGGGAGTGTTGCCGCAAGCTGTCGGGGCGCTATTGCAGGGGAGGGCTCGGGATGGGGCTGGCAGCACTCTGCCTGGCTTTTGCTGCAGAATCCTGCCCTCGCTCCCCAGCAGTGCCTTCATCCCCACCGGCCCTCATCCTCTCCAAAGAGCCCCAGCCCCTCTCTGCGGAGGCACTGGCTCCAGCTCTGCAGCAACTGGACCTTGCGGCACCCGACACGGCGCAGGTCAGAACCATGAGCATGCCTCAGTTTCCCCATCCTCAAGGGCTTGAATATAATGCTTGTTTTCCTCCTGCTTGCCAGGCTCCTTTTGCCTTCCCTGCTGAACTGAGGCCTCTCCAAGTTTGCCAGGGACAAGCAGAGAAGCTGCAGTGGCAGGATGCAAATGGGCACGGGGAGAGGAACGGCTCCCGAGGTAAGCACACGGACCTGGCTGTGCTGATCCCTCAGTGGGCCACCAAGGCAGCTCCTGCCCTGCTCCCTCCCCACAGACATCTGCGCCTTCTGCCACAAAGCCGTGGGCCCACAGGAGCCGACGGTGGAGGCGATGCGGAAGCAGTACCACGCTGACTGCTTCACCTGCCGGACCTGCCAGCGACGCCTGGCCGGCCAGCGCTACTATCAGAGGGATGGCCGCCCCATCTGCGATGCCTGCTACCAGGTGTGGGGATGTTGGAGATGGTGGCATTTCAGGGAGCGATGGCACCTTGGGAATGATGGCATTCGGGGGGCGGTGGCATCTTGGGGAGCACTGGCTTTCAGGGAGCAGTGGTGTCTCTCATGTCATGTCCCTGCCTGCAGGCCACGCTGGAGAAATGTGCCAAGTGCCAGGGGCTGATCACTGAGCGCATCGTGCGTGCCCTGGGCAAAGGCTTCCACCCCGGCTGCTTCGCCTGTGCTGCCTGCGGCCGGGCCATCGGTGCTGAGAGCTTTGCGGTGGACGAGCAGGGCAAGGTGTACTGCGTGGCTGACTTCTACAGGTGGGGTACCAGCAGGGGGGTTCATCTGATCCCCGTCACCCCATGGGTCTCACGTCAGCCCCATTTTATCCCACCAAGGAAATTCGCCCCGGTGTGTGGTACCTGCAAGCACCCCATCATCCCTGACGAGGACACCTACAAGATCGAGTGCCTGGGACGGAGCTTCCACGAGAGCTGCTACCGCTGCGAGGTACGGCCCTGAAACTCTAAGTGATGTCGCAGTGCCTCGCGAAGTACATGGGGCTGGAGGCAGGCACAGAGCATGGGTTGGTGGCGAGGTGCAGAGCGCGGTGTCGTGCAGGCAGCACGGCGCAGGGCTGCAGGAAAGCCCTACAGGTGGATGTGCTGCTTGCAGAGCTGTGGGACGCCGCTGTCTCCGGAGCCGACGGAGGACGGGTGCTACCCGCTGGGCCACCACCTGCTCTGCAGAGCCTGCCACATCTGCCGGCGGAACGAGTCGTCCTGCTGAACTGCAGGCCGTGAGAAGGGCCGGGCCACTGGGATGGACCCAGCGAGAGCAGCGGGCGCAGTGTGATCACCACAGAGTGCCAGGACCCCAGCCGTGCAGCTCGGCCTCTGCCAGCTGCTCATCACAAGCGGAAAAAGCCCTGGAAGAGCAGTGGTGGTGGATGAGCTGAGGGTTTGTTCACTTTTTTTTTTTTAAATCCTTTTTTGAAGTTGGTTTGATTTCTTCAGTGTTTTTCTTTCCTCTCAAGCTTTCTTGGGGCTTTGTTTAAACACTTCTCTCTGTGGTGATGCAGAGAGCAGCACTGATTTAGCTCCTTGTCATTACATAAAACCCCGAGCTAAAAATGCCGTCTCTTTCATCCGCCCGTTTCCTGTGTCCCAAACTTACAGAAGGCAAGTTTAAAAAGAAGGAAGAGGCCACATTGGGACCTTGTGGGTCACCTCGGCTGGCAGGAGGCTGGGCACAGCTTGCTTGGGCTGCTGGCTGATAGCACGGCTGGGGTGGGCTGGGATGCGGCGATCCGGCGGACGGGAGAGCAGGAGGTTTGTGCCGGGCCGGAGCGGGGGTTCTGCTACGTGCCCGGTGTTGGTAAAGGATGCGTGGTGTTTCTCTGCTCCGCCTCACAAAAGTCCCAGGCCGGCAGAGGGCAGCAGGAGCACAAATTCCTCCAATGGGTGAAAAAAGTGCCTGATTCCTGTCTTCTGCATGCAGCAACGCTGGTACTGAGGCTGAGGTTTAGCATCTTACCCAAGATAATACCACTCCACCAGCAGAAGCTTTCAGACCTTCTTTTGGTCCTTTGTATGAAGTGCAGAAATGAAAACTTCTCTTTGTGCATCTGTGTGAGCGGTGCCACCTGCACATTGGGTTTGTTTGTGAATATACTGTGAACCAGACAGACAAAGGGTTTCCCTTCTAGCCAGAAGCGTTTATAAAGCCACAAATCAAGTGCAGGAAATAACAAGAGCATCTGAGTCAATATTTAATGCTTCCCTGATGGAAAAAAAAAGAAAAAAAAAAAAAAAGGAAGATGTTTTAAAAAAAAGCACCAACAAAGCAGCAGCAGACAAATGTTTCTGGGTCACGCTGCCTAAAGTCTCCCCAGCACACACTGTATTTAAGAATGGAAGGGTTAATGTATGGGTAACATATGGATTCTTCACACCAACCCCGCAAATGTTTCCTGCCGTCTCTCCCCATCTACAAAGCCTATTATTCATGTTGGTGATGTGTGTCTGCAGCCATCCGTCAGGGCACAGATGGCTGTAAGCTATTTGTCAATAAGATGCTCGTGCGAAGCTGTGGTGTGTCCTGGAGTTGGGATGGTCACGTCTAGAGGCGGCTCTGGTCCGTGTGCCATGCCAGGAAGTCGTGGGTTTGAAGTCATTCCCAAAGCCTCGCACTCTGTGGGGAAATGCAGGCATGGAAAAGTGAAAAAAAATGCCAAAAAAGTGTCCTAAAGAGTGCAGGGGTGGGGAAGGGAAGCGCCAGACAGCAGAGCATTTCCCTCTTTTTGTAATATGGGTATTTTCCAAATGAGATTTTCAGGGAGGATGGGAATAGTGATGCTGAGCGTTGGTATAGATGTGCTGTTGCAGTGCCGAACCCTCTGAGCAGCAGCTCTGGGTAGTGAAAGCAGGAAGGGGCTGGGCATTTCCCTGCAGGGTGCTCTGCTGGCACTGGGCTGCAGTGGATTTTGTCCAGAGGTGGGCAGGGAATGGCTTTTACGGACACAAAGCCTTGGAGGTGATTCTGGCAGGGAGAGGAGCAGGACAAAGTGCAGCTGGAGAGTTCAAAGGGTTGCAGAAGTGGTTGGATTTGGCAATTTTTTCCAGGAGCGAAGGATGACGGGGGTGTACAGATAGGGAAGTAAACTGATAAAGGCTGATCCGAGCTGCTTTCTGGGTGGGTAAGGGGAGAAGCATTGTGAGCTGGGGTCTGGGCGTGTTGCTGAGCCTGGAAAGCACAACCCTGTGTTTTCCTCTGGGTGGACATAAAGGAATTGTGCTGTACGTCTGGCCCCATCAAGTCCTGGGGGTCCCGTTCTGCTGCTGAGCATGTAGGCACCAATTGCAACAGCTCAGCCCATCCTTGGGCTCCTCACTCCATCGCAAGCGATTTTGCAAGGGAAAAAAGTTTAAAGCCCACCTCCTTACTCAACACCAACGTGCCCAGGTCTGCCAGCAAAAACACAAAGCACACCCACAGCAATGCAGAGCTCCTTCTTTACCCCCAGAAGCCCCATAGAGCCCCCTCGGATCACCTGGAGGTGCAAAACCTGCTGAGGTCTTGCATCGTCTTGCAGTGGAGGTGCAAAAGGGCAAGGAGCCGTGCCTGCGCAACGCCCTGAGCTGCTGCAATCAGCCCGTCCTTTCTTGCAATCCCTCTTGGCCGGCCAAGGCGAACGGGGAGGGCCCTCTCACATAGGCTGGCTGCTCTCCAAGGAGAAGCAAATGCAAATATTTCTTCACTTCGGGCTGGGTGCGGCCTGTGGATAAAATTTCCCTGGTCTTTCCCAGAGAAGGCATCCGACACCATGCCCTGCTCCCAGGAACATGAGAATGTAGGACAAAACACCACAAAGGTTATCTTTCTTGCAACGTTGGGGTTGTTAAAAGGAGCTGACAGGCACGGCCGTAATGTTTTTAAATCGGCGATCAAGGTTTTTCTTTGTAACAAAAACGGCCTTTTGCAGGTTTCACTTGCAAGCGGAAGATTTTGGTGCAGCATGAGCAAGGTTGTAAAGGGAAACGGGTTGGAAACGGCCCCATCAGCCGTGAGAAATGTGAAAAGCAGGCGGTGGACTGAGGGAGAGCTGAGCCGGATTCCTGGCGTGCCTTCCCTCTGCCATCACTGCCTCGGAGGTGAAAGCTGCTGGGGAGTGGCGAGCAGGAGCCAGCACTGCAGTGAGATGGGATGAGTGAGGCTGGAGCAGTCGAGAAGGGAGAAAGGAGCAATGGCAGCAGTTTTTCTTTTAAAATGAATTTTAGAGCTGGAGGAATTTTTTTATTATTATTATTTCCCCCTTTGGTTGACCTGAGTTAATTGTGAGCTTGTCCCAGCTGGCTTGCTGCAGTGTCATCCTTTCTGGCGGAGCATTCGGACCCATTTTTTGCACTTCCCTGCGCTCAACACAACCTAAAAGCCAGCAGCCTCTCATGAAATGCGCTCTGGTTAAGGGAGGAGGGTTGGAAAGCAGCTGGAATTGTTCTGGGTTAAAAATAAGCGGAGCAGCGCGAGCCCTGAAATTCTCCAGCTTCGTGATTTGGAGCACAGCCAGGATGAAAACAAAAACAGAAAAAAAAAAAAAAAAAGACAAAAGAAACAAAACCACAATGAAAATAACACTGTGCTATTGTCCTTTTATCCTGAGATCTGCTTACAGAGGAGCCCGCAGCAGGACCTGCCTGCATCTCCCCCTCCATACACAGCGCTGGGGGGTTATTTTTAACGCAGTGTTTTCCATACACCAGGAAAAAAATATATATGTATATATCGATACATCCCGTTATGCAAGCCTTGTCACCAGGCTGCAAATTATACGCTGGGTTATGAAATAAATAAATAAGGCAAAAATAAAAATCACCCAACCCACCCTATTTCTGCAAATAGGCACAAGGGAGCTCTGACAGCATCCACCCCATCAGCGGTGTGGATTACAGCGTCCTGCAGCCCTGGTTTTCCAGGTGGAATGAAGGATTTTTGCCCAGCTCTGACTTGGAGCAGTTTATTTTCTTCTTTATTTCACCGGGGTGTTGCTTGGAGCCCTTTGCTCTGTGCTTTGTTCAAAAATATTCACAAGAAAAAAGCAGGAGGTGTCCATCTGTCAGGGAGGCTCACGGACATCAGCAGAGGGTGAAGGGAATATCTTCTGAAATTAAATATATCCCTTAATTGTGTGTAAGGTCAAACTTTCCCTCACAGACATCATCTGCTCAACTTGAGTGGCTGCACGCAGTGATGCCGAGGAGACCTTCTCCCCTTTTCTCGACCCTGTTTTAAGAACATCACGTAACCTCCTCATTTTGTGGAGGGGAGAAGGAAAAAAATTAAAAAGGGGGGGGAGAGGTGGTAAAAAATGAGCAAACGGAGGATGTTTTCCTCACAGAAAGGGGAGGGGGAGGCAGGCGGCCGCGCGGCACAGCGCCGCCCGCGGTACTGCAGGGCCCCGCCCGCTGCTCGCTTCACAAAATGGCGCCCGGCGGGGCCGCGCCGACAAAATGGCGGCGGGCGGACAGCGCGGGAAGGGCCTCAGGGCCCCTCGTTCCCCTCCAGTCCCCGTCCCGTTTTGAGGTGTTTTTCCCCTCATAGCGTGAAGATTTTTGGGTCAGTGCTGCTCTTTCCGCCCCCTCCACACGCGCCTCACAGGTGGGTATTTCCATAGCTTGATGCCTAATTCTTTCTCCCCCTCCGCTTTTCTCCTCCGCAGGGGTTGCAGCCTTCGCTGTCCTCAGCGCGTGGAAAATGCGCAAAAAAAACCCCAAAACAACACCAAAAAAGCCCCGAACAGCCGAGGACTGAAGGAAGGAACTGTCTCCTCACGGCCACCGTTCTGGTAATTAAAAACATCCATGTGGTGCGATCAGATGTGGTAATACTGCTAAAAAGAAAAGAAAAAAAACCAACAAAACACAAATCCTGTCACATCCCAGTGCTTGGTAGAGGCTGCAGCTTCGATACCACGCATATTTCTTTCCTTTGCTTATTGTTTGCGATGCTTCTTTACCTTTATCCACACCACAGCGTAGCATCGCCCCTCCTTTGTTAAAAGCCTCATACCTAAAATACCTTTTTTTTTTTTCCTGTTTAAATACAGATTTAGGGCCGTACAGGTGCTCTTTATTCCCACATGTCTCTATATGTCTCCTTATCCCAGAGATGGATTGCAGAACAAAGCCATTCACCTATAATGCTAATTACACACAATTACTCTCACTTTGGCCCGTACGTATCTTGGATTTTATATATTTATTACCTTTGTTTTCCTCCATTGGCTTTCTACTGTCCTAAGAGCAAGAGGGAAAAAAAAAAAATTACACGTGCACAGCCAAAAGAAAAAAAAAAGACAAAAAATAATAGTAAAAAAAAAGGTAAAAACAAGCAAAAAGCAACCAGTTGCCCATTTGATCAGTCCGTGGTGGAGATTGGTGCCTGGATGCTTTATTTGTTCCACAGAGGTGTAGATTTCCCTTGGGATGTTGGGGAAGGATTTCTTAATTAAAGGATAAAAAAAAATGAAAAGTAAAAAATAAAACAGTGAAACAGAACCGAAAAGGAAAATAATATGAATTCTTATTGATTTAAAAAAAAAAAAAAAAAAAAAAAAAAAAAAAAAAAAAGAAGCAGCTGACGCTGGCAATGCAATCGGGCAGGCACTGAATTCATTGCACCGAAATGAGGACGGATGAGCTGAACTGAGTGGCAGGGCTGAGTGCAGCTCCGGGAGGAGGGCTCAGCTCCTCGCCCCACCATCCAGCGCTGCACACACCACCATTTGTGTGCTTTTGTGCTTTATTTCCAGCCCCGCGGGCTGCCCTACGTGATGCACGGAGCGACGCGGGTGCCCTGGTGCTGTGCGTTCCTCTCCCTTTTATTGCCTGCTCTATGCTCGCTTTTTTTCTCCCCCCTCTGCAGGCAGCAGGGTTGCTCGGCTTTCCTCTCCCCAGCTCGGCAGCTGATTCCAGAAGTTTCTACAGCAGAGGAAATGCACGGGGGAGGGGAGCACCCACTGCGGAGCTTTGCCGCAGCCGGGCAGGCGTGGAGGAGGAGGAGGATGCGGAGGATGCACCACCTCCCTCACTCCCTCCCTCCTTGGTTCAGGACGCTTTCCAAGCCTCTCCCCCTCGCTACATTTCCCCATCCTTGCAGAGGGTGCTGGGAGGTGTTTGCAAGTTGCTTTTTTTTTTTCCTTTTACCCCCGCTCATCCCTGTCCCCCCCCCCAACCCGTTTCCTCCCCCTTTGCTAAATAAATTAAAAGCAGAGATGTCTCCTGATGGAGATGGATGAGGCTGGGCTCACTTGCATGCACTGTGCCACAGCCCTGATCTGCTGCTTAGGGCACAAGTGACCTTTCCCAGGCAGTGGGAGGGAGCTTCTCCCCACCCCGCTATGCTGCTGCTTGGAATTCATCTTACGTAGCAGCCTTATTATTTTTTTTATCCCCCCTCCAAAGAACAGCTTGCTGCTTCGGTGATTTTTTTTATTATTATTATTATTTTTTATTATTATTCTCAGCCTGTGTGTTGCAGCTTCCTCATGATCGTTTTGTGTGTGTGTGTGTATGCTTTGAATTGCATTTTAAAATTGCCCAGCTGGAGACAAGTCTTGATTAGAGCTGGAACAATAGCTCCATTTTATTAATAATGGGAAGGATTTACGATCCTACAGCACCTTCCTTGGAAGGCTTTCAAAACCATTTGCAAACTCTCACAAATGTAAGCTTTCACAGCCCTGCCTGTGAGGTGGGTAAGTATTTCCACGGTGCCACCAAAAATCAGGGAGAGCTGGAGTCGGTGTGTGCTAAAATAACGGCAGATCCGGTGGGCTTTAGGGCTGCAAAGCTGGGAGGAGGGAGGCTGGTTAAAAGCTGTAACCTAAATCTGTTTGGTGTTGTCTGTAGATGCAGATATTTGTCTTTGTCCTGGGAACCAGGCTGCTATTTCTCAGCCTGCTCTGTGCTCCTCCTTGCTTTTTGCAGAGCGAAGATTCGGACTTGCCTGCTTGTCAGTAAACAGCTGCATATAGATTTATTTATTTTTTTTAATTCATTACTTTTTTTGTAGTCCCCAGGTGACCTCCTTTAGTGCTGGCTCTGCTGCGGTCTGACCACAGCTTTGCATTAAAGCAGGCTGCGAGCACTAATGTGTCTCCGTGCAAGTCCACGTGACCTTGCTCAGGGGACAGGGCCCACTGAGCTAATGCAGATGCTCCACTTCAATTACACAACCCTGCATCCCCTCCCTGACCCAAGAAGCATAGGGGAATGTTGCAATGTTATGGGTGAAAGCTGTCTTCTGCCCTAATTTTTATTTTATTTTTTTTCCTCCCAGGGAAATGCAGGATTGTTTGTGTAACTCCCACTCTGCAGCAGATAGCTTCTCTGTGAGTATTGTAAACATGCAGCGAGCTGGGCAGTGGGATCTGGCCTTGCTGAGGAGGGTAAGGCACGGTTCTCTGGTTGTGTGAGTGCTTTACACCTCCACAGAAAGCCACAATGTTTCTGTGGTTAATTCTGGAGGGCATGAGCGGGTCCCAGGGCTTCCCCTTCCCACCCTGTAATGTTTCACAAAAGAGAAAGCTGCTGCTTCTGGAAGAAGCTCTGCCTTGTGGCCTTATTTAAAAAAAAAAAAAAAAGAAGGAGGCTGTGGATTAGTCATCATTATCGTTAAAGGAGGCTGCGTGTGCTGGTGCGTGTGTGATGTTAAGCATTAGTTTATTTGGGAGGGCTGGTAATGTGCTCGGGTCGCTGCTCCTGGAGCAGTGCCACCAGGCTCCATCAAGCTGCTGCTGGCAGGTGGAAAAGCTGATGGGCTGCTGTCGGTCCCCTTCCATCCCTTTTCAGTATCTCTGCACTGCCAGGTGTGGGAAGGAGGAGACTGAAATGACAGTGAGGAGGACAGGTGAGGTTCCAATGCCAGAGAAGAAACCCTGTGCTTTTCTATCCTTCCTTTTATTCTAAGCACAACTGCCTGCATCTTGTAAGAAGACTTAGTTTGACCCTTTTGGATGATAAAAACAGTGCTGGTTTTAATCGTTTATTTTTATCCCTTCCCTGTGGTCGTGTAGAGGAGTGAGCTGTGCAATTAAAATGGGATAGCAAAGGACAGCTCCCTCCCCCTTTCCCATTTCAAAAAACCTTCCAGAGTTGTGTGTTCTTGAATTGCTGCATAGGCAGAAAGCATACAATGCAGTTGTCAGCATTGTGCTGATGTGTGGCACATTAAAAAAAAAACAAAAAATACACACAAAAGGGGTGGGGAGAGCGGGTGCCTCCGGGGAGTAAAACTGTGGGGCCCCTTTCCCTACCAGCAAACAGACCTACATGCAATAGTTTATTACTTCTCATTTTGCTCAGGCAAATGTAATGCACAGACGTCAGAGGGAGCGTTGCAACATGCTAAATGGTGTTGCTGAAGATCAGGGTCCCCTTGAACTATTTTTCCTGTGAGCTTGCTCCCATGAGATGCCACAGCTTTATTACTCAATTCCTCAAAGTTGTGCTTACTTGCCAGAAGGAAGGAGAATGCTTCCTTTCTGGGTGTAATTTCTTTTGTTGTGAGGCAGAAGGTAATCAAAAGCAGCTGGTTCTGATCTCTCCTAGGTCGCCATGACTTCAAAATGCATAGTCCAAGCAGTGAGCAAGGAGAGCAGGTATTGGCACCTCCTCATCAATGAGAATATTGGCTTTGGTGTTGTGTGAGTGCTGCTGGCTGACCAGTGGAGGGGCCCTACCCTGCTAAGCTGGAGCAACGCTTTCTGAGCAGTGATTTCATTGCCTGATTGCAGCAGTGATTTGGAGCACAGCTGTGACTTTGTTTTTCTGGCAAAAATTTAGCTGAGGGTAAATATGAGATGTCCAGGCCAGATTTCAAAGAGAGATGGAGAGAAGCTGGTGCATGGTGTATGTGAAAACTGCCAATTGTTTGTGTGCCTAAAAAGCCTCACCTGTGTTTGAATTAAATGAGCCTGGATAGGACATTCATTTTTTTCTCTTGTTAGGGAAGTGTTTGCAGATATGCCTGGTGCTGGTTGGGGGCCTCTGCTGGCCTGCAGGTACAGGGGACCAACAAACTGTTTGGGATGCTTTCACGTTTTTCAGGCCACGACACCCTGTAGGAATTGCACTGCTTTTCTCTGTCAGTTTGGAATAACTGGGTTTCCTTGGGAGCGTTGGACTTCTATCACCGCATGCTTTGGATTGAAGAGTTACCAGAGAGACATCTGTGAGGCTTCCGAGCTAAACAAAACCTGAATTTCTGGTGCAAAAAGCAAGTGAGTGATAGAAACCTCTGCTCCTCTTCCTATGGGTGAAGCTGCAGCCCTTTAAGCTTTCCTATTACACCAAAGAGGTGGAAAAAGCATAAGCATGCGCTGTGAGTTCTGCAGTGCTACTGGTGATGTAAAATGAAAGCCAGAGCTAGCCAAGAAACCGTTCTCCTTTCAAATACAGTCACCATGCACAAGTACTTTTCTTCTTTGCCTTTCCCTGAAGTGAGAGAGCAGTAATGGCACAAGCGTGCACTCAGTCTGCTTCATTTAGAACACAGTGATTCAACTTCAATGCCAACATGGTGAATCAAAAGCATTGAAGATAGCTGGCTTGCTATTTATTTGGCTCTGGGTGTGACCATCAGATGCTATTGGGAATGTGAAGAAGAGCAACTCACACGGTTGCACTGTTTTAAACCTTTGTCCTGCAACATCTCCAGTGTGATTTCTGTCATTCCTGCTGGGCACTGCACGCGGGGCTTTTCATGGAGAGGTAAAGCACTGCAACTGTATGTTAAACATGGCAACGTACAGGATACAGTGATCTCTCCAGTCTTAGGAGGCTTGTATCCTTTGCAGTAGTCAAACCAGGTGGGGCTGGGAGACTTTAATTTTTTTTCCTCCTTTCATCTTCTTCCCCTGAAACGTTCTGTTTTGCAGCCTGGAAGACAGAAGCCTTCTGCCTAGAGGATGAAATGCTTCATGTTTGCAAAAAACTAGCAGGTACAGCACTTCAGGATGTGGTTGCAGAGATGCCTGGGGGCAAAAGGAACCAGGGCAGAAGCTGGCATTGTAATGTTTCTATTATTTTCCTAACAGAAAGTGAAAACCAGGTCTTAATTCCAAAAATTCTACTATGCAGTAAGCAAGAGTGAGTTCTTTTGCAGTCTCTGACTGCACATAGTGCTTTGCTTGGATAGCTTAGCAATTGCTCTGTGCTCTGCTGTTGAAGAAACATCTATTTTTGGGTAGCAATGTATTTTGAAAAGGGAAGTGTGCTTTTATATATATACACACAGATGGGTTCAGCGTAAATCAAATTCCAGGGGCTCCTGAGCTGTGCTTGCTGTGCTGCACAAGGTAGCTGATGCTCAGCCATTGGCCACGGTGGCATTATTTTGCAGCAGCTCTCATCCCCTGCGTTGTGTGGATGAGAACACCGTGGAGTCTGGCTGAGAGAAGTGCTTGAAAAGAAGTCAGAGAATGCTGGTACAGCTGATGCAGGGATGTTCTGCATCTCAAAGGGATGTTCTGGACAGAGTTAACACATGAAGACTTGGAGCGCTACCCTGTAAGAGGCAAGGACTGAAATCAATAGCTTTGTGAATTCAAATCCTATACTTTGTGTTGTTGCTTAGGATTCAGAATCAGGCTTCACGTTCAAAGCGTTATCAGCACATTAGCCAGTATCCTCTGTCTTGGCAACACATGAGCCCAAATATCAAAAAGCACCAATTCCTTTTTGGAGAAAATTATCCATTGCATAAAACGTAATGGGTAAGCAATAAAATTAGCACAGCAATTCAGGCTGGCTTAAAAAATGAGATAAAAGCTTGGCTGGCAATTTGATATTCAGCTGCCATACTGTTGTGTTAATAAATATAGTCAATGAGCAGGAAAGACACGTCAATAAATTGCCTCGTGGCAAGATGTTGGTGGACCTGACCGGCTTGAACAAAGCAGAACCCTGAGTGTCTGAGGGCTGTTGTCTGAGCAGCACACCATTTCTCTGCACAAAGCAAAGCAAGCTGGATGCTTACTGGACACTGAGGGTAATCGCTGCGTGCTGTGAATGCGAGTGCTGTAATCCCTGCAGGTCTGGTCAGGGTGGTGTCCCCAGCAGTGGGGAGCAGAGTAATGCCTCCCGCCCCACTCCGCAGCTGCAGTGCTACGAGCTCACAAAGCAGAGCCCTCACTGAGCCAGGGCTGATTGTAGGGAGTTACAGTTTTAGCAAACAGTCCTTGTTGCTGTCCTTGTTCCGTATCTAATTCTTTTAGCAAGCTCCACCACTTGGGGTAAGATACTGGGTTAGGAATGTTATGAACATTGTGTTGCATGTTAAAAATGTATGAGCAGTGCTGTCGGCTTGCTCTGTAAAGTGCCTTTCTATTTATCCACGTTTGCTCCTAGATGGTAGGCTGCCTCTGGCTGTTGCCTTTGCTTTTGGTATGAACCCCAAGGATGTTTTCTGATCCTCCTGCCCTTTTTTCCTCCAAACTGGAGAGCTGCTAACTTTATTAGCTCCTTATATGGCAGCACTGTTTTTCTCACGCCTTTAATGGCTCTCTTTTGATCTGTCCTGCTCCTGCTTTGCTTTTCTTGATGTGAACACAGTGTGCAAGCTGAGATGGGTTTATAACCTGCTCCCTCATTAATATCTGGTCTGGCATGTTAATCCTCTCCAAGTGGTGATAAGAAACATGCAGATGTTTTAACAGTGTTTGGCCGCAATGCCTGCAGATAGCTGGGTTCTCACTGTACTCACTGTGTGGATGAGCAATTAAACAGTGCCCTGCAGAGCCCCAGGCTCTGCCCTAGCGTGTGCTGGTGGCTGAGAGACGCTGGGTGATGGAGAGCAGCTGGATGGAGTCTCCTGTTCTGGGCTGTTTGAGTAGGAGGGGTGCAGGATCAAGTGCTGACCTTTGATGCTTGCTCCCAAGCTCGTTGCCAGCAGGCTGCACACAGGTCCTTGTGCAGTGACCAGGATGACACCGGTTGCTGCCACCTCCTTTACTGAGGTCCCTTTGGCCTTCTGAGATGCAGGTCACACTCTCTCCAATCTGTGTTCTTTGCAATCTCCAGATGAGTGAGAGGGATCTGGTTACAGCAGCACTGCCCAAGTGCGCCTGTGTGTTGCAACTGGGAACAGCTTCCCCCCAAAGCACAGTAAGAGCATTGGAATGATCCAGAGCTTCGTTCTGCATCACGGACCAGGCTACGCGCTCCTCTTCCAGCTGGCTTTCATGTAAACAGAGCATTTTAAGTACTAATTTCAACCGTTTCTTCTGTCTGCAGGCTTTGTTTCTGACAGCTCCTTGATTGTGGATGTCCTTTCAGCCAGGCTGCCTGCAGTGTGACAGCAGTGACCCTGCATGAGGTTTCTTTGAAGGACCTGGGAGACCATGTGGCTTTTTTTAGTCCCTCAGAGGTGTTTCCATGGCAGGGAGGGAGGAAAATGTTTGGAAATGCTGTCACAGGAGGCATGCTTACCTGGCTAGGGGAAAACTTGCTGTAGAAAAGCCAGCTGGCGCATGGTTTGAAGAGGGATAGGTTCTTTTCTCTCCAAAATGGAATCCCTTAAGGAAGGTATAGACAAGTAGTTCCTACTCTTGAGGTTTCTGACTGGTTAAAACAAGGAGCTGAGCCCATTTCCATGCAGAAATGTGTGGTACAGTGCATTGCAATGCTTTTCCTTGCGTGTGCGGGGTCACACGCTTTACTAATGGTTTGCATGCAAGAAGTTATTGCTTTTTTGTTTTTAATCAGTCCATCTCCATTCAGCAGCGCAGCTTCACACCCACCATCACGGGGGAAACTGAGGCACAGGGCCACTATGGGATTACAGGCAGAGCTGGGGATAAGGCTCAGGTTTGCGGAGGCTCAGGCTGACGTGCGTCAGAGGGCTGCTTAAATGGAGAGATTTGCAGAGGGAAGTGACCTACAGCTCGATGGCTGGGACTGCTGCTGGACCTGATCCTTACGGGTGTCTTCCGACTCAAACCGCAGTTTGGTCAGGGGAAGAATTTGGCAGCACGGTGCCCACGGTGAGATTTGGTGAGCTCCTCCAGTGCCAGAGCCTGGCCCACAGCCAGCCCACAGGGTTCATACGGCACTGAACTTTGGAGCCATTAGAGATAAACAGCGCTATAGGCTAATAAAAGGCTCTGCATCACAGGGCCCTTGTCTGCTCACGCCACAATTAATTTTTTACTTGCTGATTGCAGTGAGGGAAGAGTGCTGGGTTTGCTTTGTGCTGGGTTTGGATGGTGAGGAGTGGGCAGATCCTCGATGCCTTTTGCCCTGCACCCATTTTTGCACGGCAGCCCTTTACCTTTCACAGCGCGTCCCATTTTTTCCCCACTCATTTTGTATTGCAGCCCCACTGTTTTGCAAAAGCCCCCCCTTTATTTCTTTGCACTGTACGTCTTTATTTGCAATCCCTTCATTGCATTGCATTCACTCATCACCTCGCCCTGCAGCCCCGGTCTTTGCCACGCATCCCTTATTTTCCACAACCCACCTCGTGCATTTACTACTTTCCATCGCAGCTCCCGTTTATTGGCTCGTACCTCATCT